GGAGGAGACTTGGAGGAGGAGGAAGGGAGGGGGCGGTGTCCTCATGGCCCGGCCCGGCCCGGCCTCCGGCCGCGGCGGCGACTGGGGAGCGCGCCCGAGGGTCCCTGGCACCGCCGTGACTTCTTACGGGATGACTGATATAAGGGACCTTCTGAGGCGTGTGGATTGATGGGGAAGCTTGCAGAGCAACGCTGCGCTCCATTCCGCCTCTGAAAAGCCTCGCTTCCCTTGGGAGAGGCGAGCTATCGTCGTCCGAGAGAAAGAAGTGGAAGGAGTAGTCTCTTAGTGCATTAAAAAGCGAAAAAAAAAAAAAAACCCAAAACCTTAGTTGCTCCATAGGCTTCTTTTACGATGCTCACTGTCAACACTTTTTTTTTTCCCACTTTTAGTTAAAGCAGGTCATCTAACTGAGCATTGCTAAAAGTGAGTGGATAGTTACATGATCAAGTCATTGCTCATGCTGCGAATGCCTGCTTTTTGGTTTGCTTTACGGTTGGACTCATGATCTTGAAGGTCTTTTCCAACTGTAATGTTTCTATGATTCTTTGTAGTAAACTGCAAAAGGGCATTGTAAGTAGTGGCTTTCAAAGACTGTGTTGTCTTTCTTGCCCTGTTGAGGGAGTCTTGTGATATCTGAGTCATAAATAAATGTGTGTGTGCGTGTGTATTTATAGTGATGAATGTCAGTGAACTCCCAGTGGTTTAAAATACATAGTTTGCCATGATTTATTTGTGTTGGTAGGCAAAATTCCAGAGAAATTGGTGAAATAATCACCCAATCAAACAGATAGTTTACTGTTACCTGTTTCAGCAAAAAACAAATGAATATTAAAAAGTCCTGAGAGAAGAAACTAAAGTATTACTTCAATAAATGCATTGTTAATATTTTTATTACTACATAAAGACATAAATTTTACTTTTATTTTGCTGTCATTTTTGGAATCCTTCACTGCCTCTAGTGCCCCAGTGCAGGGTAAGGTTCTTTGGAAAAACACAGTTTTCACATGTGGAAGCAGTATTACAGAGAGACTATACCATGTTCATCCAACCGTTATTTAACTCTGCACCTGAATATCTTGCTGCAGAGGGACTGCTGCATCCTTATACTTTGGCATGACTGGTTTTACTTTGAGAATACTTCGAGATTTTATCATTTCCATGTTTGTGCTTCAGCAACTGCACTAACTTGGCTTCTTGGAGTGTTCCTGCTGTTTTCATCTGCAGGGTCCTTGGTGTTGCCACTGAGAACGGGTGTCAGGGAGCTCAGGTAGCAAAGGCTGTGGGGAGCGTTGCTTTCCTCCCTGAATTTTCCCCTTGCAGTCAGACCAGAACTCAGGTTTTATTTCTCCCTCTGTCTCTCCTCTGGGCAATGCAACCTCAATGCCAGCTGTCCAGATTGCACCCCTGCCCCTACCAAAATAATAATAGAAAAAAATAATAACAAAAAATAATGCTATTAAGACTTTGTTTACTTGCTATTTACTTCTATATATCATATGAATGAAGTAGCTAGACTTGACCCATTTACCTGCAAGCAGTGTTTTGAAGGAGGAATAATGAACAGTGAGTTATCTTTGTGCTGAGGCAGTAATTTGTGTGCTTCTGCCAGCTTGGGTGGTGTGGCTCATACTACTACCTCTTTTCACACAGAAAGTTGCTGAAAAGAAGCCATTATCTTACAGCATAGTGATAATTTTTTTAACCTTTATTCCCGACATCCTTTCTTTTCTATAAGAAAGGCTTTTCTATAAAGGCTTGAGGCTGCTTCTTAGGGTTCTTGGAAGTAGTGGATGGTCAAGTTATGGGAGTGGATGGACTCATCCACGAAGCAGTGTGAATATCTTTGTATCAGGAGTATTTCTCTAAGTCAGTGGATGATTCAGGACTTCAATACGTCTGTGACATGGTAGAGATCTCTGGAGCTTGTAGCTTGTTTCAGTCCTGCTCATATCTGTGTTATCTGTTCCTAACCCTCATTGTCCTGGAGAAAGGGGACTGCAAAGTGCACATAAGCTGAGGGCATCCATTATCTTGGTATTCGGAGAGTAAGCGGGACGTTTTAGTTTTCACTCTGCCATGCTAGATAAACTAGTGTGTGTAAGTTGACCAGAAAAGATGGGTGTGCATGTGCATGTGTTTGTGTGTGTAGCTGTTTGTTGTTTCAAAGGAGCGGGATTCCAATAAGTTTGAAATAGGTTTCACCTATGGCAAATCTCAGATTTGCCTGCAGTGTGCAGTGGTGAGCCAGTTGGTGGACTGAGAGCTGGCAGTTGAAGAGTTGTGATAGTTTTGTGTTGGTGGACTTGAGGCAAGTGGGTGATTTGTGTTGCCAAGGACAAAATGAATCGGCAGTTGATGAAATGAATTGGCAGTTTTTGTTGCAGTCTGAATAGGAACATTCAGATGTTTAACGGAAGGTGACTATTGAGCAGCCTTTGCTATTTTAGAGCAGGCCTGTGTCTCTCTAAAAGTGATCAAGTCCATTTTTCAAAGATCTCCCTCCCCAGTTCTGAATTTAGACAGTTAAGTTGCATTAAGCTAGTATGTCTATGTGACTTGTATGCTTTTCCTTAGCATGTGTGTTTTCTCATAAAGGGTATGCTCCATGAATATTTCTATGTAGGCATTTATACCTTTATGATAAGAAAACAGTATTAAGAGGTGCCTGACTTGGTAATTTTAGTCCTCAACTGCTAGATACAATCGTAAAAATCTCATACTTCAGAAGTGGTGTATGTGAAAATAATTTTATGTGACAGTTTTCATAAAATTGAGTAAAATTTGATTCATTCCTGAAATAAATTTAACTATAACGGACTAGAATTAAAACATCATAGTAGATGGGCATTGAACAAGCTGTTCCCTAGTTTTCATGTTGGAAGTGTCTGATTGTTTTGTGTTTTGATTTATAGGTTTAAGACTTTGGGTGACAAATCGAGAGAAGCAAAAAAAAGCAGACAAAGGTACTTCTCTACATCTTAATGTATACTGTTGATCTAGGATCTTGGATCTGTTTTCATCTAGGATAATCTATTTTCATCTCTATTGTAACAACATTTAAGAATTTTGCTGTTTTTCTTATATTCTGCATTCTAGTATATTACTTACCTATCAACCTGTGTCTACTCTTGTCTATAAATGTGTCTGTATATGTTTCTTCAAATAACCTCAATGTTTGTTAGTGAAAGCATGTTCTTCTTAAAATGTGGTGTGAAGACACAAATTAATTAATCATTTATTTAGAATTTCTTTTTAAATTATCTGAAATAAACTGTGCTAAGTTCTCAAAGCCTGATGTTCTAGAGAATGTAAAGGTTTTTATAAAAGAAAATTGGATAGACAACACACTAAACCTAAACTAAAAATATGCAAAGATTTGAATAAAACGATTGTAGGCAACCATCTCTGCATGTTTGCGGTCTGTTTGGTTCATCTGGTGTACTGTGAATATCGAACAGTTTTTCAAAAATGCTCTGGGTGAACCAGTTGGATTGTCACAAATAGGTGAACTCCAGGCTGACTCATGACTGTGCTTTTGGTTTGCTAATAGAGTCCTGGGACAAGTAGAGCTTAACTTGATTCTAAGGATGATTGAGACCTTGTGAGTCTGAGAGAGCCAGGTCGTAGGAGAGGCCAGAAAGAGTGGCACTGGTGGGAGTTTGCTTCTGACCTCCTCAACAGGGTAAGGAAGGGGATAAAGTCTCTGAACAACCCAGAAAAGCCTCTCTATTATAAACACTCACTCTGATGGGGCGCTTTAACTTCCTTTACATCTGCTGAAAGATGTAAACAGAGTGCAAACAGTCAAGAAGATTTTTGGAGGGCATCAAGAATAACTTCATATGTGTACTGGATGGTCCTGGAGGCCAGGGGTGGCCTGCAACTGGGTCTGGTAGTCGCTAAGAAGGAAGAACTGGTTGGTGATGTGGTAAGCAATGGTAGCTTGATCAGTAGTGACTCTGGAATAGTGGAGTCATAAACTGGTAAGCGGGATCCTGTGAGAGGCAGCTCTGTGGAGTCATGAATCTTGAAGAAGCTAGCAGGTCTTCAAGGACAACATCCTCCAAGCACAAGAATGATTCATCCCAATACTTGGGAAGGCAATAAATGTGTGATGAGGTGGTCTTGGCTAAGCATGGAATTCGTGATGGAGCTTCACTGTGAAAAAGCAGCCTATTGTCATGGAAGTAAGGACAGGCTACAAAGGAGGAATTCAGAAATACTGCCATGGCATGCAGGTGTCAGGAAAGCCAGAGCCAACCTGGAATTGATATCACAGAGGATATCAAGGGCAAACAAAGAGCATCTACCCCTATGTTAGGAATAAAAGGCTGAACAAAGAAAATATGCTGCTGAGGGGGTGAGCGATTTAGTGACAGCAAATACTCATGAAGCTGAGATACTTTCTTTGCCTCTGTCTTCAAAAATAAGGTACGAAAGAAATCTATGCTTAGTGAAAGGGTTCAAGGAGGAGGCCAAGTGGTAGTGGATGAAGTGTTAAGTTAGGGAATCTCCTGAAATGCCAAAGGTACAAATCTGGAGCCCTTGCCCTGGCAAGAGAGAACCCCCAGCAACAATACTGGCTGTGTGGCAGTTTTACTGAAAGACCGTAGGGATCCTGGCAGATGGGCAGCTGACCACGAGCTTGCACGGTGCTCTGGTCACAAGCAAGGCCAAGAGCATCTTGGCCTGTGTGGACAGGACCACAGTCAGCTGACTGGCAGGAAGTGATTCTTTTCCCTCTACTCGGCCCCGCTTAAACCATGTCTAGATTACAGCGACCAATTTTGGGTCCCTAATAGAGAAGAGATTGTTTGGATGATGCTCTAAATCTATTTTGATAACCTTGTAAGAGACTAATACAAAATGTCAACATCACTGTGTAATAAATAACATCCTTAAAAGTGCTGTATTGAAAATTTTCCTTGACTTATGGTGCCTTATCTTCATATTTCAGGTTCCTATTAATGAAAATGTGTGTAAGAAGTAATTAGGATGTTAGACTAAGTAATAAGAAGTAACTAGGATGTTAGACTGACAAAGATTCTTTAGTTTAGTATTTATTTAAAAGTAGAATGCGTTAAGTGTGGAATCCCAAGGAGGGATATAAGGAGTTTGTGTTGCCACTCTTCTTTTAGAGCAGTCCTGTTCCCTATTTTAAGTTAAGGAAAGCAGTGTTTACTCTGAATGTTTGTTAACTATACTAAGAGATTATAGAAGTTGTTTCTAATAGACATCAGGCAAAAAGAACAGCATAGTATAACAAAAAAAATCCTGGTTTTGTAACATTCTTTTATGTGTATACACATAATGGGCAGTGACTTTGTATTTATTAATAACACCTGTGCCTTTACGTTTTGTTTACAGAACTGGTCAGTACTTGCCAGAGTTTTCTGCTGGACTAGAATTACTGAGCAGGTATTCCTTCCATTCCTTGTTAATGTCTGTTTTGTGTATTTTCAGAAATAATGTATTAGAAAGGATAAGAAAACCAAATGAAAATGAAAGCATTTGTATTAGTAACAATTTTTTTGGATGTTGTGAAGTTACTAAAAGCTAGGAATGTTTAAAGCTTGCCCAGGCCTTAAGCACTGTTTGTCTTGTGCTGATGAAGCAGAAGTTAAGTAGGGAAAAGTGGCAATGAGAGATAACTTTAGCTTGGTCTCTAATGCAGAGTGGTGGAAGAGAGCAACACTGAGACCTAGTATTGCATTTTATTTTGAATTTTTATAACTTTTTTGTGCTTTATACTATTTAATTTAGTTATAATTGGACTATAGGCAATGTGCCTGTCATTGCCACAAAAGAAAGTGTGATCACATTTTTTTCAGAGCAATAGGAGCTTCAGTTTTTTGCACTACTATTTCTAGTAGTCCATATGCAAATAAACACATTGGCATCCTTGAAACCCTCTTTGTTTATGAGGGGAACATTATAAAAATGTTTTGATCTTTCTTCTCTTCAGATATGAAGATGCTTGGGCTGCCCTTCACAGAGGAGCTAAAGATTGTGCGAAAGCTGGAGAGGTAATAAAAATAAAACTATTACTTTTAAAATATTAAATGTACAGAAATTTTAAAAATAAAATTTTTATTTTTATGAAAAGTTAATGTTTTATACTGTGGCTGAGAAACATGTCAAGTTGCAGTGTTCTCTACTCTGCTTTTTACATGATGCTTGACAGCTGTCTGACAAAATGGTTGAGAATGTGCGATTCTTCACATAGCGCTTCCAGATTTCTTGCTGCTCAGCCTGCAGTTAATCTTCCTAAAATATGATACACACATGCATGTATATGTAAAATATATATATAGTAATAATAGAAATTCTCTGAGATCATATTTCTCACAAACTGTCATTTAACCTGAATCAAATTCTCACTCATGTTTACTTCTGGTGTTTCAATTGCTTTAGCAAGCCTTGAGCATGGTAATTTCCTAGCACCTTTAAAGTGTCACTTGCCAAATGATACATTGATATCCAGAATTTCTTTTTCCTTCTCCCGTATGTTTACACAGTTGCACAGACAGTTTGTGTTTAAGCAAAAAGAATCTTAATTACATGAGTTTATGGATTTTCTGTGGCATGTTAGGTTAGAGAAGGATATTATCAAATATGTAATCATCAGGTGTTGGTATAAACAAGGCTTTCCTGTAGGTGGTCTGTTTTTCTACTTTTTGTTAATTGAAATGTTTTAAGTTAGCTGATAATATTATTTTGAGATTTTTGAGACACCTACAGCAGTAAGAATGTAAGCAAGCATAGGTCTTACAGAGCAGACTGCACAAATGATGTTGTATGTTACCACCGTGGCTATACTGGGCGGGGGGCAAAGTGGAGGAGTGGGGTTCAGGCAAGTAGCTGGCATGTTATAAGGGAAGGACTGTCACACTGACACCCTAGATGTGTGCTACTCCATTTTGCGGTGGCCTGGAGATCATAGGATTCAACTAGTCTGTCTAGAAGGAGTCACAAAGTGGCTGTGCTTTCTCATTCATTTCCCCGCTCCTGCGAGTAAATTGGCAGGTTGTGTATTTTACCTATTTCTGGTATGATTGGCAAGAAAATTCCAGAAACTCATCTGGTATGATTGGAAAGAAAGCTCCTGCTGACATTAAGAAATTGCTCAGCTCTTCTGATAGTGCTCACCAGCCTTTCCGTTTCAAGTCATGTCTGAGGGGCAGACGGTTTAAGCTGGGTGGCCAGGGTGCAGAATGGGACTGGGGCATGGGATGCTCTGTCCTAGCCAATGCTTTCTTGAATGTATCATGGCTTTGCCTTTGCTGCATCCTCCCTGACTTCTTTTCTCTGGGCCTTTTTCATCAGCTTAAAAAATTCACTGTTTAATATGTTTTGAGACAGTACACACAGGGTAAGAAAGATAACATACTATCTTATGTTCTTTTTGTTGTCTAATACTGTATCCACCTTTTCCACCAATCCTAGTGAAAATCTTCAGTTTCTAGAGATGACAGCTTCATGTGTTGTAGCACTCATGATAATTTTTCTTGCAAGACCAATGAAATGAGTTGCTTGCAGTTTTGCAATAGTTACAGTAGCCTGCTTTAAGAAATTGTAATTTCGAAAACAAGTAAGATGTTTCATATATAAAACTGATTTCATCTTAATCTCACATGTTATAGCTGCTTGGGAAAATTATAATTTTTTAAAGTAGAAAATATAGACTTCATTGAAATAACAGATGCAAAAAAAAAAAAAAAAACCCACAAAATTGACTGACTGATCACGCTTAAAAAGTCCGTATTACCCAGTACCCTATTTCTGCTCATGATCAGTACCGGGTAAATAAGGCAACAGGAGAAGGCTATAAAACTTGAGTCTGGATGAGAAAGCAGCATGTAAATTTCAAGCTTCAATTTCTGTCTACAGCCTTACCACATCAAATTATAGATGTGATCCACCAGTTCCATCTCTAAAATTGTTCTAAGGTTATAGCCTTTAGATACTTGTAACTGTAGTACGTTTTAATGAGCTTGTCTGAAATATTTTTCTGATGTTTGCATCCATCTCATTGTTTATTTTTTGCTCATTTGTTTTAATGTTTAATTAATATAAATTTGTATCTTGTTCTCAAGAATATGTTTGATACTATTTAAGTAAGTGGGATAGCCTTCTGAAATATTTTGTTGCTCACTGTACTTTGGAATAATGTTTCAAAACTTGACAAGTAAAATGGGTTGGCTTTTTGACAAGGATCAGTTAGAGGGATTTTGGAAATGTTGCAAGTAAATTAAAGAGCCTATTTGTTTCAGCTGGTGGATAGTGAAGTTGTGATGCTTTCTGCACACTGGGAGAAGAAAAGGAATAGCCTGGTGGAACTACAGGATCAGCTCCAACAAATACCTGGGTTTCTAGCAGATCTGGAATGCCTCACAGCAAGTCTAGGTAAGGTTGTCTAGACATAACAAGCATTTGAGTCAGTGAGGAGGATTTGACCTAAGTTTGACTGTAGTGAATTTTTTGGTAATTAAAATTTAACTTTTCTCCTCAAATATATCCGTTGTTGTATAAAAGAATAGTTCTTAAGCAAATTTGCTCCATAAAAGAGCAAAATTCATAGTGACCTCTCTGCCAGCAGTTAAAATATTATATGGGATACTATTTGAGGAAAAAAAAATGTATAGAAACTGCATATCCTGTTCTGAAAAGTTAAAAATCATAATTGTTGAAGCCTTTCCTTTTTGAGTTCCTATAGATTTGCAAGTAGTCTGACCGGTCATGTACATATTTCCCCTTATTTGATTCAGTCTGTATCACCTTATAAAATAATTTATTTTAAGCCATCATTTAATTTGGGTGGTTTGGGGTGAAAGTTCATCTGTCTTGGGACACTTCCAAGGCTTGGTACACTCTTTGCAGAGAACAATTGTTGGTTCCCAAACTATATTCCATAGTTTAACTCAGCATGCACTGTTTAACTGTTCTTATGATATCCAGCTTTTTCATCACTAAGAGTAATAAGTCTGCACATTAAGGCTATCAAATACCTTATATCTGTTAGAGGTTCTAATTTTTGTAACTTTACTGAATGTTAACCTGTTAGTTTGAAACTTCCTTAGAGGAATGATTAAGCGGGCTACTTCTGGAAAACTCCCATACAAAACAGTCGAGCTACTGCTGAAAATTAAATTAGGAAAAAAATGTTCTGGTCTCTTAGTCTCTGGAAAGCCCTTGTGTTACTGTGTTTTGAGACAGGCACTCACCATTTGAGAAATAGCTAATCTTCCTATCAGCAGTAGAGCCTCTTGCTGTCCCCATGGAAATCTGCTCAAGTTGCAACAAATTAAAATTTTGAAAAACTGCTTGGATTTCAGCCTATCACTGAGGTTGTGAGATTTGAACCAAGTCTTCTGGCCTCACATCATGTTCAGATAATTCCCAGGGAGGATTTAGTTGCTTTTCTTGGCTCCTATGGATTTTGGAGATTGTTTATTCTGATAAATTCTATAGAAAGGGGTTTAAAGCCTTTTATTTGAAGAGAAAATACTTTATTTTGCTATAAATTATACCTTTAAACGTGTACGGCCCTGGAAGTTAGCTGTGATATTGTGCTCAATAGTTTTATTTTTTATTACTCTGAACTTTCTACTTTTTCTAAATGTAAGCTTAATTGTCTTTTGGAAAAGCCAAAAAAGTTAATATATAACTGTAAATTTTGAGTGCAATGAGTGAAACCTCTTGTAAAAGGATGTGGATATAAATTTGGATTGTTATGTCCTGAGTTGTATGTGTGAGGTGTAATTTTGCTCACCTTCATTGTTTCAGTAAGGTAATGTTTTGTGGGGTGATATGAGATACCTTAATGCTGCCATTTTAAAAGTAGATATCAAACTCTGGCTGCTTTTTCTAAAATAAAATTCAGAATACAAAACAAGCTTTTCTAGTGACCTACTAAAATTCACATGTGTCATTTACAGATTCTTTAGCTTTTATCCTCATAATGAGAAGAATTTTCACTAACACTAAACAAGTAATTAATAAATCACATACCAGATGTCCCTCACTTCCAAGTAAAAAGCCAATATTCATTTGTCTCATAGATTTATTGTATTTTACAACATTGTGAAAATGTCATTAAAAAGCCTTCTAGAAAAAAAGATTACACTAGTGTCAGTGAAAAGGATGGTTGATGCCTTTCAGAGCTCAGCATTTGAATGATCATCTACGACTGTTTCTATTAGAGGTGTTATAGAAGATATCTGCCATCATAAAATAAATTATAACTCCATATCTGAATATATTAAAAAGTATATGCCATAAGAGAATATTATCATTTTTAAATGTCTTGGTTAAAAAATGGCAATTTTTTTTTCAATTTGAATAATGCATACGTCCAGCAACACTTTGTATTCTGAAATTTTGGAATTTGGTTTTGGTTCCTTGTAACAGCTTGTACATGGTTTCTAGAATGATACTTTTAAGAGGAAGAGGGGTAATGAATGACAGCCCATTGACTGTATCTTTGAGAAACACACAAGAGTGTTTGAGGAAGGGAAGTCGTCAGTTTACTGTCATCTCTATTTGTTATTTTTGCTTATGTCAGCATTTAGTTATTACCACGTATCACAGAATGCTTAAGGTTGGAAGGGACCTCTAGAGGTCATCTAGTCCAATCCCCCTGCACACGCAGGGTCACCAGTTATGTAAGATTACATTTAAGACCAAAACATATTCAATATCATCCAGTCAACACAAAATTTGAAAATTAAAAAAAAAGTCATAGTGTTGTTATAGCTGTGATAGTATAAGAAAAAATTGTACCAGTTACCTAATATGATTAGAAAGACGTAGTAGAAAGTACAAGTGTCTTTTTTCGGCTAAATATATTATTTCTACCTGCTGCATTTCACTTCATAATAAAAATAATTAAGGTACAGGTACAATGCATGCCTCTTTTAAAACATAAAAAAGGAATTGTCTGGGTTTTTTGGGGGTTTTTTTTGGGTTTTTTTTTTTTGGTAACTTGTGGTTGTGGGGTTTCTAGAAGTAACTGATACCTATTAAACGACATAGTGTTTTCTGCAGTTGCCGCTAGAGGCTGCTCAAATGCTAGTACTAGGGCTCTGTTGTACTCCAGAATTCACTCTTGCTCCTCCTGTTTTTGTTTGCCTGTTCTTTATTGTTATTCTTTTTAATGCAATTTCAGTATTGACTACAGCATTTTTTTAAGTGGGCATACAGTAGTTAGTAGGTCTCTTACCAAATTATCTTGCATCCTGCTGTGTCTGTGAATTTTGCAAATCAGTAAGTAAGCAGTCACTCTGAAAAGCAAGTTAGAGTAATAGAGACATGTGAATTTTAATGCACTCAGAAAAGTCCGTGCTTTAGGCAAAAGAGGACCACCAGTCCTAATTGCAGTCACGGCATATCCCTTTATGTACCTCTGGATTTTGTGAGCGGGGTAGCCGAGAATTTAGTAGACAATTCATATTCATATTCCACTATAATCTTTAGACTTAGAAATTATTTTTCCATTAAAATTCTTTCCACATTAATTACAACAACTTTATTGTGAAACCATGTTCATGTGATATGTAAAAATCCACAGAAGGTTTTGCTGATTATGAAATTTCTGCTTCCATTTTTGATTGTTGTGGATATAGAACTTTACTGTCTTATTAGAGACAAAAAAAAGCTTATGAAGTAGTTGAGGCTGAACATATGTAACATGCATGCTATGGAGTTTGCTTACAGGGTCTTAACTTTTGCTATTTTAGGGGGACCATAAGAATAATAATTTCTGTTTAGGTAATGTCTTAAAAAAATAAATGTTCTCTATCCCAAGATAGGCCTCAACTAGAATAGCCAAGCCAGAATTGGAGATTTGACAGTGATGCCCTCATTCAGTGGCAGGCAAAGGTGAGACATTTGTCAAAACTCAAGAGATGCTTTAGTTTTTCTGCCACTTCATTCCGTCTTCTTTGTAGTCCGTTGGATTAACGCTCAGTTTATAGGCTGTGACAAATTAGTGTATCTCTCTGAGGTGCAAATTCCTTTCTGTTCTGTGGGCTCTGCTTCTGTTGTAAGCACATCATTCCTCCTGCAATTTACCTTCCCCTTGGGAGAGAAGTCCTGACATGTACAAATGGTGAATAACTGTTCTGTATTCCTCCAGGGCCACCCTGGATTGACAAGCGGATTAGAGTTTTAGAAAATCCACTTTGAGATCCTGAAGAGGGGTAGTGAGTTGATCAGTAGGGAAGATGATCATTTTCTTTGATTCATACAAGATTCAGATAGGATAATTCAGTTTGGAAGGGACCTGTGAGAGAGTGACCTATGAAATCAGATCATACTACTCAGGGTTTTTTATAGGAAAGAATTCTAAATTGAGTTTTTGAACAGTTTCGGCTAAAGAAAAGACCAGGATCACAAGGTTTTGCCTTTATTTTTGAGTGTGTGTGCGCAGATATCTAAAACTAGAGATTAGATGTTTGTCTGTTGGTAAAGGGTCTGCCTCTAAAATAATCTTTCAAGATCTATTTCTTTTATACTGTCATGAGGCGAAGTAGGTTAAACTTCTTCCAGAATGCCTTGTCAGAGCTCTATTTGAAAAAAATATATAGATTAGTACTGGCCTTGGTCAGTGAATGACCCCTCCTCCCATTGGTACCAGGCAGCAAGGAGTAACTGATGGTCCGCCTGAGAAGCCAAGGTAAATTATGTGTTCTATGAGACCAAGTCACAGGAGCAAATACTGGCATTCAGCGTCTTACTGCAAAGGGAGCCTCAGCTAGGTCTTACTTATGTGGCTTTACTGTCACCCTTCACTATGTATTATGGACTGAAGTTTGTTTATCTTCCTGTTGGGATAAGTTGTCTATCCCTTGATACAATTTGATATTCATGTAAGTTTTTCTTACAGCCCAGCTAGAGGCAAGCTTTGAGGAAATGGAGAACCATCTATTGTGTCTTGAGGACCTATGTGAACAGTGTGAGTTTGAAAGATACAAATGTATGCAGACATTACAGCTGGAAAACTACAAGAAAACAAAAAGGTAAATAAAACAACAATTGATATGAATATGTTAGCATAAAATATAAGCTTTTTGTGATTTTTTCCCATAGAATATCATCCCTTTTGTTTTAATCTATTAAAGAAACTGTCCTCTCTGTCAGGAAGTTGCAAATTTATGGTAGATTCAGTATTGAGTACTGGCCTAACTCTTGGAGACGGACAAAGAGTATGAATTTGGAAAATGATCACCATGTTGATGTTAAGGTGAAGTTACGTTTATTACTTTGTAGAAAGTGTTGAAGTAAGGGCTGTCGTTAATAAGCATTCTTAAATTGTTCATGTTTTAATCCCAGTTTCCCCAGTTTCTTTATTTTTCCTTTTTTTCCTATATTTTTGTCATGTAAGATTAGAAGCTATTTTTTTCCTCTATCATCTTTTCAATGATGGACAATGAAAGAAAATGACTGTCTTTTTCTCCATATGATAAATACTATTCTTAAGTTACTCTTTTACTTGCTACGGCAGGACGCTATTGCTACTTAGGAATAGTAGGAATATGTGTGAAAAGTACCTCACAGAGCTCCCAACGCTTGTAATTTATGTTAACATAGAAAATAAAGTAGCCAGAGAGAAAGGTTAATAACCTGTAAAATTGTTGGGCTTTGATACTTTTGTAACTGACAGTGCCAAAAAACTTTGAAGGAGATAGGAAAAAGCAGTTCTCTTTCTGTTGTATAAAAGAGAAAAGAAGCAGTTTGACAAATTCTCTAGTACACCTGTGCTGGGAAGTGGTGGATAGATGCCAACACTGACAGGTCTGGAACATGCACTGATTTAGAGCTATCAGGTTTCTTCATGCATCTATCAGATGTTCTCTTGTTAGGCAGGGAAAGCAGCCCTTTCCCAGCTCTTTGGGCCGTGGAAGCAAGTTTGACCCGTGGTATGGTTAGAACACCAGGTTTGGTTTATTTTTCTCCTTAGACTGTGAGTGATCCAAGAGCAGGGCTGCCTGACAGGTCCCTCAGACTGCAGTCATCATGATTTGAATAGCTTGTCCCTTCTATTGATCCTAGACCGTCCTTTCCACAACTCTTGTACCTCTCTTTCTTTATCCCAGTCTCCTCCAAATAAGCAATATGCCCTTATTTAATTTAATTTAATTTTTCCTCATTAGTCCCAGATTTGTAATGTCTGCATATAAATTCGGTATTTTTGATACTGTAATCTAGGAAATCTTGGCCCTCTGTGGTCTTCCAGATATAGTGAGCTGTAAGTACTGCTGGCATTGACAGTTCTGCGTCTCAAAAGGTCCTCAATATTCCCCTTCAATTGTCTCTGAAGTTTGGCTGTTTCTTGTACAACATCCCTTTAAACAGCTGTGAAATCTAGCCATTTTTAATGGTGCTAACTGTAACTTTTGTCAGCTTCTTAAAATGCTACAGGCCAGCAATTGCTCATGGCCTGTCATTTTTCCATATGCTGCTCTGTTACCTTAACCTTAACCTTAACCTTAGGCCTGGGCCTAGTCAGTGGTCTTATAATTTCCCTGCAACCTGGATTCTGCTTTTTCAAGCCATTGCAACAAAATTTTCCCTCCCAATAAGGAGCGATAGTCATCAGTAAGGAAGGTTGGGTGTTCAATCATTCCAACTTACTTAAATGATTAAATATATAATAGTAGTATCTTCAACATTTAAATAAGTATTAATTTTCTATGCAAACTTAAAATGTGAGTAAGGCACCAGATTTATACCCAAAACACTACAGTAATCTTTTTGAAGTTTTTGAGAAGTTTGTTTCTTCTTCTCTTTCTCTTTTTTCATCCCCCAACATCTGCTTTCAACATTTAAACAAAGTGTTAACTCTACTTACTCTGCTTATGATCTAATCAGTTTTATAAATAGAATGCTAAGTGAGGTAGTTAACATAATTGTAAGCTGATTACCATTTGTCAGATCTAGACAAAACAAGAAAAGTGCAGGTGATTTCTCGTTGATCATTACCACAGTACTTACTCAGGTAAGAAATTGACTGCTAGAAGGATGCTTGCCAATGTGGATATTGGAGGAATGAATAGCCAACTAATTTAATGTGAGTGTGATGTGTTGTATGTATGTTTGCAATTTGCATTCTGTCTTCCTCTCTTCAGTGCTTGGTGTCTTTTACTGTAATACCAGCTACTGAAGGAATCAAACCAGGAGTTCAGGAATCTATGTTCTCTCTTAAATAGAAAATTATTTTCAGAGAACTAGTGGTTTTGTTTAAAAGGGTATTTTGCTGGTATTGACAGTATGGGGATAAAAACTAGGATGAATGCAGGTGCAGGAACTACGGTTATTGTAAGGATGTACAAAAAAGGAATTTTATGATAGAGTTGCTACAGATGCTTAGGCTAGAAGCGCACGTATATAAGTCTTTTGAACAATATTGCTTCATAAAAGATTTAGAAATAGTGCTTTAGATCACTATTCAAACCTTTGAAATGCAGCTTATGGTAGCTATGGGAACTGACTTTCAGAAATAGGTCTCCTTATTAAATTGAGCAACTTTATTTCAGGTCAAACAGATCAATTTTCCCCCAGTCGTCATTGTGTTGAGTACTAACTTAAACTATATATTGATCAACCCACGATGTTTTCCACAATGTATTTTACATCCTGAGTATTTGGAGGGTTCTTTTTTTCTGTGCTTGTGTCTCTGGATTTTTGATATTCTCTCTCTCTTTTTTTTTTTTGTTTGTTTGTTTTGTTTGCTTTGTTTTGTTTTTAATCCACTGATTAGGGTACTGCCATTGCTGTATGAAGTTTATATGTCACCTTTGTTTTCTCTACTTAGTCTCACTGTAATTATTTGCATGTACATTTGCATGTATGTTAGCATTAACCCATTTTGCTTTTCTCAAGCCTGTTTCTACTTCCCTTCCATTAATCCTTCTAGTGAGGCTGTACAGCTTCTGATTCCAGCAACCATTTTGGACGCCTGCAGCCTTTTATGGCACTTCTTGCCTGGAGTCATTTAGGGAGCGTTGTCAGAAGTTCATTTCTGTGCTAATTATGTTCAACGAATTGCAGCTTCATGGTGTAAGACAAATAATACTTCCCTGAAGCTATACTTGCTCTGAAGCTCATAGTAAGGTTTAAATCTAGTTCAGGAAGGTCACTGTTTTTTGAAAAAACAGCAACTCCGGGTTATTTTATCAATTAAAAAGACTTGACAGACAGTAACATTTAATAGGAGCACATTCCGCATAGCAATTCCCTGTCACTGGAATTGAGTGAATAGATCTTATTGCGCATCATTTGACTTGAGACTTAATTGTCTGGATTTTAAGCTTGTAGAATTTCTTGTTTAAGAATACTTTCTGTTTTTTCAGTTCTTGTCTGCTTTGAGAACAGACATAGAATAGGGAAAATGAAAGAAGATTTCTGAAGTGCGGGGTCTCTTGCTGTTCAGTTATATTTCAACAGATAAATATTTAGTAATATTGCAAACCTCCGTGGGAATATCCTTTTTCCTGCCTATCAACATTGAAAGAAATACTTTAACTAAAGAGAAAATGAATTCTTAAAATGTAAATTTATTCCTAATTTTTCTTATCAAGTAATTCGTAATTTTGTGCCTTGGTAAGTAGTGCACTGATTCAAGAGTTTGACAGACAGTAATGATCCTTGCTAGGATGCACTTCTGTGCTGATGAAACATTATTTTGTGCTATTGGAAGAGAAGAATGTTTGGTTCACTTTTCAGTTCAGAAGGGAATGAAGTTTATAGTAATAGCATTTGATAGATTAAAGATGTTTATGTGAGAAAGGGTCTTTATCAGTTATCAGGGTTAAATTTATTTCTTGTGCATATTCTTGTGTTGTTTTTATCCCCCTTTTAACTGCTTTAGGCACACAATGGGTAGTGAAGAATGTTGTAATTGTTAGGCCTGACCAACATAAACTTGCAAAACTTAAACACAAAAAGCTTCTATAGACAACTCAGTATGGTTTTTGGAAAAATTTTGAAAAAAATAAAGAAAAAGCATATTAAAAAAATTGAAAATACATGAAGATATTTTGTATTACTATTTTTACGCTGTATGTTGTTTTCGGCAATTGCTTTCTGCAGTATCACTGAGAAATATCTGCTCATTTTTTCTGATCTTGTTTAACTTTATATTCTTCACCAAGGTCAGAAGAGAGAAATCAGAATGGGCAGGACCATTCCATACAAAACTGCGTTGCCCAGAAGAAGGCACCTCTGTCTGTAGACTTTGTTTAAATCCTGTAATTTTCACACAGTGATAAGCTAGAAGCAATACTCTGTCTTCAGTGATGACTCCCTCCTATGTAGCAGCAATAGATTTAAGTTGTAGCTTTATAATACTTCTAAGGTTTGCCTATTAATTGGTCAAATTAAATTCTGGATAGGTAACAAGTATTTTAGTGGTTGCAAGTGTTTCAAATAAGCACAGTTTTTCTTCTCTTCAAACATTACAGGTACTGAGAAGTGTTTCTAATACTGTAAGTCATTGTTCTCATCAAAATTGTCATCACAGTAAGGTTTTGGGCTGCTTTCTGCTTGATCCATCTTCTGGCTGCTGTTATAGCATTTCAGCTCTTACAGCTCTGTGTACCTGAGTCCATAATTAAAAGTTTGAGAGGGATGGATGCAAAAACTATATTATCTTCAGGACAGCTTTCAGGGTAGACAGGAAATGAATGATGAGGGTTTACATTTTCATTGGGTGTTAATTGTCCAGCTATAATTGCTATGCCCAAAACAAAGAGTTTACATTGCAGAGATCTTACTAGTGCTGCTGTTTGACAGTCTGCATACACAAGCCTTTTCACAGTGATAGCTAGCTGGAATTAATTTTATAGCCCTCACCATTCATGGATATCAGTTACTGCAGTTCTGTGGACAGACATGTGGAATGAGGATTCCTGTTGATTCTGAAAAACTGGGTTTGCACAAGTGTCAGAAAAGTTCCCTTGGTAATTGCACTTACTTTTGCATAATATCAGAGCTCTAAATTCTTGTTTTGTCTGCAGCA